TGTGTGTGTGTGTGTGTGTGTGTGTGTGTGTGTGTGTATAGATAGATTGAATTAATAACAATAGAACCCTCTTAATATTGCTTACTCCATCTTTATTTTTCTCATCTTTAATTATCTAATAACCTTAAGGTAATTCCCAGTAAGTTATAAACTTTAAATCTCCCCTGTCTACATTTCTAATAAAAAATACAAAGATCCATTCCCATGTGGTGTCCCCCTTTTATGCTATATCTAATCCTTATCTCTAAATCTCTCGGCCTTGTCATTTCTCTTAGATTTAGTCAGCTTTCCCTTTACTAAGTTTTCCTGGCCTTTCCTCTTTATCCCTCTTTTTCCCTCTAATATTACATTTATTTCCATCTGCCATTCCCCCATCTTTCCTCCCACCCTTTCCTTTTCTCTTTTTTGAAATTTCTTCTTGTACAGCTGCTTCTTCTTTTGCTTACTCTTGGGAGCTTTTTCTCTTTTATTTATTATCTCTGTCATTAATGTCTTAGTTTTAGTCCCTTTTGTGTATTTTGGCAATGTCTCTGAATCTTCATGTCCATCTTGGCTGTTTTCCTCCTCCCTTGGCTCCTCCTCTCTAAAATTCCTTTGTTCTGCTATAAATTGCATTACTTTTTCTGCCAGTGTGTCCAATAGTCCCCTTCTTTCTTTTATCATTTCTTTCACAGTTTGGAGTTCCAACTTAAATTCTTTGCTTGCTTTTTCCATTTTTTAATCAATTGTGTTATTCTTTATTTTATTAAAATTAATTTTAACCCTTGCTAAGAGACTCGGTTTATATCTATTTTCCTTATTGGTCCTTCTGTTTCCTTTGCATAGTCAATCCCCAACAGTCCCAAGATATTGCCTTCCTTGTCCTCTTGCTGCAATTTCCCCCTTTTTCTTTTAAGCTTCTGGGGTTCTTGTTATGTTAAAGTCTTTTATTCCATGCCTTTTTTCATTCACACATTTAACAGACCAGTAATTTTCCATAAAGTCATCCAGGAAAAAAATGCTTTGTACCATTAGGTGGTGCTCTATATCACTTCCACTTTTCAACGTTCTTTTTTTTTTTTCCTGTTTTTCAATTATATTAATGTTAATTTTCAAACATTTCAACCATTGGCTTTTTTTAAGTATAATCAATTCCAAGCAAGTTCAGCATTTTATCCAATGTCTAATTAATTCCAGATTCTGTATATTATTCCCAATTCCATCCTTAATTTCATTATAGCTCTTTTGTAGTGCAGTTTTTTATTTACCTTATATTGTCCTTTTGTTTTCTATTCGCTGCTGTTGTACTCTCAAGCGAGGAATCTTTCTTCCTGCTTTTCGGGGTTATTAAAACAAAAGGTTCCACTTCTCTTGTCTGGATACATGCTGCTCATCACTTCACCTCTCCAGCACAAACTTAAGTCCCGGTAGCTTCCCGTCTTCAGGGCAGCCATTAAAACTGCCGCTTCTCCCTGTCTTCCAGGGGAGTATACCAAGCCAGGGAGGGGAGATGCAGCTCCCCTCAACCTAGCTAGCGGTCTCCCCCTCTTCCCTCACCCCTCCGAGGTGGGTCTGATGGTTCCAGTCCTGTAGGGACCCCTCCAACAGGGTAAGCATGGATTGAAGCCGCTCACAATCGTGGTCTCCGTCCGTCCTCAATGGAAGTGCCACCTTGCCTTTTGAATGAATGGCTGACACTGTGTTCTAATAATGAGTTAACAGATAACAGATAATCAGAGTTGGAAGGGACCTTATAGGTCATCTAGTCCAACCCCAGGCCCAAGTGGGTGACCCTACTTGGGGTCATTTGCAAATCCATTGTAACTTCTATAATTCTTGTAATTTATAACTTGTATTATTCTTGTAACTTGTCATTTTTAAATCCAAATCTAAAACAATCTGTTTCTCAATTGTATTCTCTTCTGTCTCATCTTTTAAACACATTTTTATGGTGGAAGGCAGTCTTAAACGGAATTTCTGAGTGCACTGAGTTCTTGCAATGTTGTAATACTTTTCTCCATTCTCTATCACTTCCCCTTTAATTATAAATTTTAGTGCTTTCTAGTTGTCTGTAGCATCCAGCCTTCAAAGTCTCCTCTTATCATGTTTTTCTCTAATCCACACGATTTCCCATGGGAAGATTTTTATATTTGGATGCAAAATCTTCATATATTTTAATAGGATTTCAAACAACCCAAAGGAAGGATTCTTATAATTAATTTCAAAATCTTATTTCCAATCCATCTGGCCCCTTGGTCCATTTGTATCTTTCTAAAATCAACATTTTAATTACCCTTTTTCTGTTTCGTTCAGAATATTTTTTAAAATAAGTTCTTAAAGTTACATGAAACTTTTTTTTTTTTTTTTGCTGTGGATTGAAGGAGAATCACCTGGCATGATGAAAATTCACAAGAGATTTCTGTAAATGATTAAGAAAGGAAGTGGGCGAACACAATATCCTTTTGAAGGTTCTGAATAGGGACTTGGGCAAATCTGACGCTTTCTTGGCTCCCAGAATTCTAAAACCCACTAGAGACTACTATTGTATGATCATCTGGTAAGAAACCTGTATTTGGAGTACAGAGGAATTATTGTGTCTGTCATCTGCACCTCTATAACTGTCTGGTTTGGTTCTGCAACCCAACAAGACAGACACAGACTTCAGAGAGTAATTGGGACTGCAGAAAAAGCAATTACTACCAACCTGCCTTTCACTGTGGACCTGTATACTGCACAAGTCAAAAAGAGGACTGTGAAAATATTTACAGACCCCTCACATCCCGGACATAAACTGTTTCAACTCCTTCCCTCAAAACGACGCTATAGAGCACTGCACACCAGAACAACTAGACACAAGGACAGTTTTTTCCTGAATGCCATCACTCTGCTAAACAAATAATTCCCTCAACACTGTCCAACTATTTACAAAGTCTGCACTACTATTACTATTAATCTTCTCATAACTCCTTATCACCCATCCCCTCCCACTTGTGACTGTATGACTGTAACTTTGTCACTTGTATCCTTACGATTTATATGGACTGTTTCCTAGTATGATTGCTTATTGTACCCTATGACTATTATTAAGTATTGTACCTTATGGTTCTTGACTCTTGACAAATGCATCTTTTCTTTTATGTATAGAGAGAGCATTTGCACCAAGACAAATTCCTTGTGTGCCCAATCACACTTGGACAATAAAGAATTCTATTCTATTCTTATGTCCAATTCCAGGTCCTCCCCATTATCTGCTTGCCAGTCTCTTGTTCTGGCATGGTTGTGTCATTTACTTTTGCTTCCCTGAAAGTCCAGGAATGAAACAAAGACATATGCTGCTATAGCAATAGCACTGCCTCTCAGTGCTTTCAGCCCTTTCTAAGCAGTTTATAGAATCAGCATATTGCCCCCATTTTACCAATTTCAGAAAGTTGAAAGGCTGAGTCAACCTTGAGCTGGTCAGCGATAATGAAATAATGGTGGCCACAGCTTAGGTTAAATGGCATCTTATTGAAGTCAACTGCACATTTACTTTTTCCCCCTTGATGTTTTATTTATTTTTTAATAAAAGTTTTATTTAAGTTTTCACAAAACATACAAATACAAATAAAATATCTTTTTTTGAGAACAGCGTGGCCCCAGGTCATCACTTCTCCATACAGACATAAACTCAATACATATTTATCTTATACATTCTAATCCAGGGGTCCCCAACCACCGGTCCGCGGACCGGTACCGGTCCGCGGAACAACTCCTAC